TTTGCGACTGCCTGCCACGAGTAGCAAACACTGTGAGACGCGGGTTTAGGGTTTAGGGTTTAAGGGATTCGAATTTCTGCTCAGAGGAAGATGGAAAGCAGCTGTCAGCTATGGCATGCACATATGCATCCATGCTTGAACAGATCAAGGAGCGCGGACACGATGCTTAACAAACATAAACGCGGACACGATGCTTAATAAACATATTAACATTTCTACAGTAGTATATGATATATGTATGTAACAACATGCATGTACAGTGGTATGTAAACATCCTGAACAAGAATTGCTGAAAGGACAGCCGTGCGCCTCAGCAGGCAAGGAGGAAGCCATCGTGACGAGAGCACCCATGGCTGCAGGTGCGGCGGCTTCCAAGCCCCGGTTGGCCTTTGGCTGCACGAACCTGAGCTGCTGATGGTTATGTTGCTGTTAATGTCGTTGGTGTGTTCTTCTTGTCGTTGCGGTTGTTGTTGCTGCTGTTGTTGTTGTCGTTGGTGTTGCTGTTGTTGTTGTTGTTGTTGTTGTTGTTGTTGTTTGTGTTGGTGGTGCTGCTGTTGTTGTTGCCGTTGTTGATTGTTGTTGTTGCTGCTGGTGCTGTTGTTGGTCTTCTTGTTCTTCTTCTTGTTGTTGTTGGTGGTGGTGGGGGCGGCGGCGGCGGTGGTGGCGGTGCTGTTGCTGTTGCTGCTGTGGCTGTTGTGGCTGTTGTTGTTGTTGCGGTTGCTGCTGCTGTCGTTGTCGGTCGTCTTCGTCGTCGTCGTTGTTGCTGGTCTTGTTGGTGTTGTTGTTGTTGTCGTTGCTGCTGCTGTTGCTGTTGTTTTTGTTGCTGCTGCTGCCGCTACCGCTACCGCTACCGCTGCCGCTGCCGCTGCCGCTGCCGCTGCCGCAGCCGCCGCCGCCGCCGCCGCCGCCGCCGCCGCGGCTGCTGCTGCTGCTGCTGCTGCTGCTGCGTTTGCCGCTGCTGCCGCTGCTCCGAGAGGGAACAGCTTGAAGATGGAATGGATTAGGTTCGTAATGGGTTTATAATTGATTAGAACATGTATGGGTATGTACACCACGTGGTCATGATGACGATGATGACGATGATAACAACTCGTGATACTGCCACTGCTGCTTTTGTACTTAGAGGCCAAGAGGCGGACACGCCGCCTTCGCTGGGGGCCAGGCCGAGTGACATGGCACAAAAGCATGCAGCAAGCTAGGTCATGCTCCCTCTGAGCTAGCCTCGCATCCAGCAGAACGACAAACAGCTAGTCGCGAAACCGGCACATGCTTCTGCTTCCCTGTCTACTGCTCGGCTGCAGTGTTTTTGCATGTTAATCCAGTTCGTGTTTACCAGTTCTTGCACAATATATGATGGCTTGGCTGCCGTTATGGCATCCTCGGGCATACCACGGCGAAGCAGCAGTAGCATCACTCACTCACCACAGATGCCACTCGGCTCTGCAAGAACAGCATGCACAACCTTAAGCTGAAATCATTTCGACTCAGACGCAAGACATTTTGGAGCGTCCTGCTGTTCAGCGGGCCATGGGCCATAGCCGCTTCAGACTAGACGGAGGACAGTAGGCTGGCCACAGCCGTAACCAGGGCAACACCAAGGCCGGTAACCTAAGTCAGTGCTGTCAAGCCCGATATGCATGTGCTCAACATGGCTCGACGACGCGAGGGCGCGAGGATGCGAGGACGACGACATCTTGCCTTTGTCGCCATGCTGGGCACCGTGAGCATCGTGATGGCATGGACTCCGAGCGCTTCGGCAACTTTCACCTCGGCTGCTTTGCTGCTCCGCGGGAAGCCCCGGAAAGACCGCAGCTCTCAGTGAAAGTTTGTGCACTTTTTACTCCCGTTGGGCTTCGGCGACTGCATGCCGGCTCGCTGTGCTGGAAGGAACTGACAAGACCTCAAAGCCAACAACAGCCAACAGTGCTTCCATTGTAAGAATAATCATGGATCCACATCGCCTAAACCTCAAAGACTCCTATGCATTCACCCTGCTCGGGGCGCACGGCACCACTTCCGGAATCAGCTATAAATAGCGTGGCATCACCATCCTCGCAGAGTGCCGAAAGGAAAGCCACAAACAAGCACACTGAAGTGGAGCTGTGCTCCCGACCCAGCACATGTCGACCGGGTTAGACACCTGCGCAAGCACAAATGCTAGCTTCGCCGCTAGTTCCTTCGACATGACAGCGCCAAGTGCGGCTTGCCTGGGCAACACGGTGGACACAGTGGTCATCAGCGGCACAGCCATTGAGGCTGTCCTCACTCCTCCTGAGCTCGTCGGACACCACGGGTCACATTCTCACGGCATGTCTGCTGCGAGTCGACGAACTGAGACCCGAACAACGCAAAGATGCCTGGCCGGCCCTGCACCGGACGGCCGGCATAGAAAATGCCGGAAGACGTAATAGCCAGACCTTGCAATCAAGTCAAAGATGCTCAGCTGTGTAGCTGCTGGCATTGACCGACCAGGCGGACAAAATGTGTGCTGTCAGCTATTGGACCAGTCTTGCCACTAAGCCTTTTTATGTGTTGATGAACCGAGCAAAACCGAGACAAGGACATGTGACAACAGAATCAGCTTCCATCAGCCGTAAGCAATACTTATGCTTGAAACACGACGCGACGAGCGAAAACGAAACAGGAGGCAGGATGCCATCAAAATCAAGTTCGCAACGAAGCAAGGGACAATCGACCAAAGCGAACCTTTGACAGAAAGAAGGTGATAGTCACAGTCACAGCATGCCCTCGAAGAAGGAAGAGATGCCCCGAGGAGCTGAAAGTCAATTCTAGCGCAGGAGCACTGCCATACCCCAAAATGCTTGCAAGATACAGCTCAACACGACACTGCATGAATTTGAAGCAGCGACAACTTCTACACTTGCCGCCGCCGAATGCCTATATGTGAAAAACAACATTGACCGAGCAACCATACGACCCTTTCTGGTCCGACCCACCTGTGACAGCCTGCAAGTTGTTGGCTAGAGCATGTGCGCCAGCCTGCAGGGAAGGCCGATGGACAAAAAAATCGAACACGTGCAGCTTGTCGAAGCCTTGGACTTGGGAGCAGCCGCCCCTCCAGGAAGCGGAGCTGGAACAGTCTGCGGACCACGCACCAAGGCACCTCGACAAGTGAAAGGGAAGAGCTTTGTCCTTCATCGTGTTGAGGGCTCGGCCCTGCGTTTGCTTGCGATTCTGCTCCCTGAGACATTCACTAGCATTGCCTTTGATGGCGTTGCCCCAATAAAGGGTAAACCTGGCAGAAGCGCTGGAAGTTCAACGGCCAAGACTGTGTCAAGCACAGCCCGGCTGACATGTCCACAGCCACTGGCCCAGGCTGATAGATCTCAGGCCTCCAAACTCTGACATTCACTCCGCCAGCACTCTGCCCGTCAGCATCTTCCGAAGCCCCCGGCGTTGACGGACTCATAGGCTCGGACGTCGCGGGTGCTCCGTCCCTCACGTCATCATGCATTGTGTATTAAAGCTGGCTTCGACAAGTTCGACGTGTTGTCATAACTGGGATCTGCACGTGTTGAGCACCGGGATCCACGATCCATCACCGGCTGTCCTGCTGATGGCTGCACGACGGCGACGTGCCTGTATAAATCTCCACAGCTAGTGCGAACCACAGAGAAGCTTCGATGCACGGTCAGTCCAGAGCCGCTTCAGTGGAGAGGCCGCTTCGAAACCATCGGCTGCCTGGTCTTCAGGGCTTTTTTGTGCGGGCCTGGGTGTGGAATCAAATCCTCATGATTCTGATGCGCTGGACGAAACGGAACCCTGAGAGATGACTGTTCAGCGGCTCCAGAACATCATGTAGCTTGTTGCAAGTCCTACCCCAATCCATGCCCAAGCGTCATCTTGTCTGCACTAATCACTGAGTCGTGGAGATCAATCACAAGAAGTAGCAAGCCTGCCTGCTTGTAGATAGCGCTATGTCCGGTGAGAGGCGGGCTGGCGACCACACGGCCAGAAATGAACAGGTCCCCTGCCTGCATCGACAAGACACGTTGCTTGTTGGTTCTTTCGGTGGCACTGGGGATTCTTCGCTTGGCGGATTGGCCTGGCTCACGGCCATGCCTTTGGCGATCATGTTTTCTGCGGCGACGTGCTGAAGGCCTGTGGGTAAGAGCAGAGCCGAGTTAAAGCTGCTCGAAAAGTTGCAGAAGTCGAAGCTTGACTCGGTTCGCAGCCCTCTGTGACGAGGAATTTGCTGGGCAGCACCTGTAGATTCCACCGATGGAAGCAAGTGGCTTCTTGACACCACGCCTTCAACTTGTACCAGAAGACTTTGCTGGCTGTAGGGTCTGCTACGAACAGCCTGGGCCAAAGCAAACAGGAAAGCCATGTTAAACCCTTTGCTGGTGAGGCCTGCCTCATGTTCTGCTCATCCACAGCCAAGGCGGCTGGGTTTGACAAGTTGTGGACGATCAGAGGCCGCCAGGTGGGATCCGGAAGCCTCGAAGCATCGCATGTCAGGATCACTCCCTCTCGTACTGCAACCAGAACAGCACGTGCAAGCTGCGAGCAGGCAAGGTAACGAAGTAGACTCCTTTATGATTCACAGGCAACCAAAAAGGGTCCCTGCCTGGCATAACTGATCTTGAAATCCTTGGGAAAGCTTGCAATCAAGTACCTGGGCTATCACGGTCAAACCACACAACCATTTGCCTCCATGCTGCATTATCACCGGACCTGCCATAGCACCATGTATCCAAAAGGGGAAAACGAACCCTTCAGTCACAAAAACCCGCAACTAGCGCCACCCGATTCGATACGGAGCAAAACCACGAAGCATCGAAGTAAATCTCCTTGCTTGAGAAGTGGCCGCTCTGTTTCCCCCGGCAGCGGACTCTTCCACTGGAGCCCGGAGGATTCGAAGCCCGTCTCCCAGTTGATGCCCAACTGATGCAGAGCTTTGGAAGGTTGATAGCACAGGGTCTTTGACCGTTCTAGCATACTCTGAAGCAAGAGCTCCAAGCCTTCAGCGCATCGGACCCGGACAGTGCACCGAAGACTCAGCAAAATGCAGGTACTAAGCAATTTGCCGCGGCATCCTGGGACCAGAACAGTTAGCATTCCACGACTAAGGTGCAAGCCTAAAAGTGCTGTCCACACCTGAGCTACAAGTGGACATCGGAAACCTCTTGAAACAGCCACCAATTCGCGCCCCACAAAGCTGTTGCAGGATCCCGACGGCTGCATTTCGGCACCAGGCCATGGATGCAAGATCGGGAGAGGCCGACCCCGCTCTGAAAAAAAAGAGGGCCAAAGCAGAGGCCGGGCGGCATGCGCATGAAATGACGTAATGCTTGATGCTTGTGATCCTTGCGGTCCACTTGGTCGCCCCTTTTGTCAACACTTTCTGACACCCCTTTTGTGGACTCAATGACTTTGCGAAAAGTCAAGTCCATCCGCTCGTCCTGCACACACAAGACGACTTGATCTAAGATGCTCAGCTCAAGTTTCGAAAGCAGCGGACTGCAGGTTTCGTGGATCTCGAAGTCTTGTTGAGGACTTTCAGCCGTGAGTTGGCGAGACTATCTTGATATTGATGTAGTTACAGAGCAGTCCTGTACGCCTTTCCTCCTCGGCAGTGAGTGCTGCCAGCATTCTTGTGTAGCTCCGGACATTACCTCGCATCGGACTGACTCTATAAAGCCTCACAACCCTGGGCAACATGCGGCTGAGGTCTCGACTAGAAGGCTGCCATGTGCAAGCCGAATCCGAATCCTATCGAATCAACGGCATAATCGTCCACATCAATCAGATCTCCAAAGCCGAAGAATCAGAACTGCCCACAAAGGTACATTGTCCGGCCACAGCCTGCCCGCACTTCGACAAGATCCTTTTCTGCCTGAGAGGCGATGCTCTGAACCATAGTGTGCAAAGCTCCCTTATGTCACGTCAGCACCTCCATGCTGCGACAGTGCTGCTGAGCCACACTCTTTTAGGTCGAAGTCCCTCTCCGCACCGAAGGTGACCTTACACAGCAGGAAGGATACGTCGCAAGGCAACTCTTTCGACTGACTATACCTAGTTACAAGTTGCAACATGCTCCAATCTGCTAGGCCACTGATGCGATGGTCGGCTGCGGCCCGTAGATTGGCTCATTGTCTGCATGCCTGGACGAGCTACTCAAAGCTGCTCTCGCAAGACGACCCTTTTGACAAGCAAAGCCCAATTTGTGTGCTCGGAAAGAGACCATCCCACGGTGTCATCTCCATTCCTCCCGGTGTCCAAAGCCGACAAATGTGCCACGCAAGTTTACTCTCAACCCAGCGGGCCCAAGCATGTGAGGGCACGCAAGGCCTGCAATTGCGAGACCCTACTGTTTAACAAAGCTCGCAGGGATCCATAAACAGCGGGTCCTGTATCTGTTGCAAAGCACCGAATTGAAAGATTCGCCTTCCGACTTGGACAATGAGCTTGCAAACAGCAGAAACTGTGCGGGTGTTGCAGCTCCCGTCGAAGAGCGCTTGAACTTACATTCATAAGTCAGGCATCGCAGCAGAGCAACTACGTAGGGATAACAAGTCTTGATCCCACCTGTGATGCTTTCCACTTCTTTCCGAATGTCCTATCACCACTACTGCAGCATTCGAACGCCGAAATCTGTTCTTGCCACGCATGATGATGCTGAGCATGCTGATGCAGAAGTCCTGGAGAACTGGGGCACGTGACCAAGGCAATGGCTCGATGGTCCTCCCCGAGTAGGTGTAAGCCTTGTCCTCAATGTTGCAAACATCGGCAGTTCCACCCACGACACCAAAGCTGAGCTCCAAAAAGTCGATCATAAACGGACAGTACATGAATAGCTGCAAAGATGCTCCGAAGTAGCAGGTCAGCCTGGGCTCGGCATAGTCCTTGCCGAACCTCGGCAGATAATCCGCTCAGTGTGGCCAGAAAATCCCATGAAAATGTCTTCCTCACCTCGGCATTGCAGCCGCTGGCAAGGACCTAAAATCCTCAGCCATGCAGCACTTTCACCCGTCCCTGCGTGTACGGCAATGAGCGAAGCCTCCGCAACCAGTCCTGATGGCCAGGATCAAGCTGATTTGATCAAGCCTGTCTCGAAGCTATCCTGATTTTTCATCTCACTTATAGTTATAACTCGAACTGCACCTGGCCATTCCTGACACATGACAGCTCGTTTGAAGAGTGGATGGAGGGGCTGCACAACCCAGAAGTTTAAGACCATTTCAACTTCAAGCATCAGCCAACGAAAGCAGAATGACTGCAAAAGAAACATTCTTGAAACGCAGAGGTGTCGTTAGAAACACAATCTTTGGCTGGCTAGCCATCCAACAGTTGAGATTTGCCCTACGTACAAGCGCCAGCCTTCTGTTGGCAACATTGGATGTTACCCCAATCTGCTCTGGCTTTAGATCATGAAGCTGTGCAAAGCGCTCGCCGATAGACGCAGTTAGGCTCAACCCCCCACTCAAAGAGGCAACACATGTAAGCAAAAACGTACTCCAACTAGGCACTTGTATGCGACAGCATGCATCGTCTCCTCCGCATTCCTTGATGCAAAGTCGGGCCTTGGCATGATGCTTGCAGGGATACAGCTGCGTCTTGGAATCACTAAACTCACTAAACCATACTAAACCATGAATTGTCGTTCAGGTTTATGGTCTTCTGACGTAAAACTTCTTGCTTGCAATTCTTTGTTGTCAAATTTTAAAAGCTGTGTCGTGCACGACCGGTATCAGATCGCCAGCAAATCAACAAACTTTAATCCGGGAGGGCACGCAGCTCATGCTAACTGTCGGTGCGACTGGGCCGAATACTAAATATGATTAAAACTGTTCCCCATCTGAGAGCACTGCAGATACCGCAGAACGCTGCCTCGCCGATCCAAGTAGCCCCAAAAGGGCCTTTTCAGTTTGAGATTAACGCTGATTGATGCCTTCCATCTGCCAGACTTGAGGCTCCCACTGCGTGGAACCAGACTCGTTGATCTCAAACAATTTCAACTGCCCTGGCCAGGCAAACTGTGTGCCCAGTCAAGTTGAACTTATCGAAAACCCATGTGCACCTTGGAATGTGTGCTTGCGGGCGATGCTACAGGCGGGCATACGTTTGACATGTTTTCGGCGCGACACCATGACAACTATGCTCCATCAACAACATCAAAGCGTGGTGATGCTGCTATCTATGGCCTCTTATTCGGCCGGAAATGTGTGCTCCTCATCTGCACTTCCAAATTCTCGGTTCTGCAGCTAAAACCCAAACAACAAACAACAACAGCAACAACAACTACAACCAAGAATTGCTGCACCTGCAAACGTAATTACTAATAACGCTTCTACGACAACAGCTACTACACTGCTAAAAGTACTACCACTCGTCACTCTTATCTTTTACACACACTGCCACTACCACTGCTGCTACGTCGCCGAGTAGGACGACGACACTTAACTTCGTTTGCTACTGCTGCTTCTCCTTCGATTCTTGCTACCAGCACGACTGTGGAGCCAAACACTCTTGCATCTTCCGTTGTCCAAAACATGTTCACCCCACCATGATGAATTTCCAAATTTTGCTTGGGTTTTCACGGTTTTTGATGTAAGGACCACCTCTTGCATCGATGCTGCAGCATTCACGGGCGACAATTCATTCCACATTCTAAAAACCTTTCCTGATGCAAATTGTCCATGGCCAAAAATGGAACAATCCAAATTTAGGAATTTGCTTCATCTGTGAAAAACAAAGATTGGAACACCGAGGGGGCCCCAAATTATCGGCTTCCTTAAGGCTTTTCGACCCCTCAAGCGCACAATCTATCCGCAAAAAAAGAAAAGCCAATCGACTGCTTGAAGCCATCCTTCCAAGTCAACATCAACCATCTCCATCCACCTGCCAAAAAGTTACACCGGAACAGTCGAACCTGTCTGATTTCTTGCCATCCAAGTCACATCAGCAATAGCTCCAAAAAAACCTACTGTAGAGCCTGCCAAAAATAGAAACCAGCCAGTTGAACTGTTTTCCAGCCATTGTCTTCTAAGTCCGCATAACCATGCTCACCTATCCAAGTCATGCGAAAAAGATAACTATCAGGAACTGCTTCCATCTCTAAGTTTGCATCATCAATCGTCATGGCTCCACTACGATCGCTGTCTGACAATTTACAACGCACAGCAGGCATACTATCTAGGGGCTGCATCCGAGGACCCTTC